CCCCCCCAGCACTGGCACCCGGCAGCACCCCCGTCCCCTGGCCACCTACTTGTAGACCATGCCGTGGCACACGATGACGCTGCCGTCGTCGGAGGCGGAGGCGAAGAGCGGGTAGCGCTTGTGGAAGGCCACGCTCCTCAGCGCCTTCTTGTGATGCCTGCCGAGACGGCGGCCGTCAGTGCCGGGGCAGCCGGGCGGCACCAAGCTCTGCGGCCCCGCGCCCTGCTGCCCGTGGCCTGGGCTATGGGGACAACTCGGGGAGGGGACTGGGACCCTCAGAGCAGCCAGCGCAGCCAGGCCAGGGCTCCTGGCAGGACATGGCGATGCCAACGTGCAGGAGCAGGGAGAGCTGCCAAGCGGGACGGGACGCCCCGCGCGGGGACTCACCGCAGCAGCTGGTAGGGTCTGGTGGAGAGGTCCAAGTCGAACCAGGCCAGTTTGCTGTCGTAGCTGCCACAGATGACGTTGTCACCTGCGAGAGGGGGCAGGGTGTTAGCAGGGGTCACCAGCACATGCACGAGCTCCTGCCAGCACCAGGAGCTCCGAGGCCCCGGCGGCACATGCGCCGGCCCTGACTGAGCGGGATGCTCCGTCCCAGCTGGCCAGGGCACCTGGAGCTGGCCTCGGGCGAGCAGGGGCCACGTACCTCCTGGGTGGATGGCCATGCTCGACACCCACTTGCAGTTCGTCATCAGCTTCTTGGTGAGCTCCTGCTTGAGGAGGTTGTAGACGCGCACGTAGCGCTGCGTGGCCACGAAGAAGTAGGGCCGGATGGGGTGGAAGAGCACGCACTGCACCAGCCCCTTGCTCTTGCGGAAGGGGTTCTGGCTCCAGCGCTTGCTGGTCTGGTGGATCAGCACTTGCATGTTGCTGTTGTCGGCCAGGACGCTGGCGAAGTAGTCGCCTTTGCCGTGCCAGGTCACCTGCTTCACGGGCTGCAGCGAGCGGGGCCGCGAGCGGGGCAGCGGCTGCACGGCCTCCTGCTGCACACACGGCACGGGAGACACGGCATTCCCTGTGCTCCCGGGGGAGCCGGCATTCCCC